AAAAAAAAAAAAAGACAATCCGGATGACTGTCTATAAACCACCTTCTCCCTTTATTATCTCAGTACCCACCTTGCTGCCACTGAGACCTTAGTGATGCTAGGGCATTGTAATATATTCCACTCTACCTAACCATCCTCCATATCTATGGAGTAACGTCCAATATTTTCTGTATTGTACAATAGTGTAATGTAGTTGGCATGCCCTTAAAAATAAGTATTTAAGTTTAGCCATAGTTAAGGAAAATTGCTAGACAGGTGACTCCTATATCAACCAGTGTCCTCCAAGACATTGGGCCAACTTTCTTTCTTAACAGAAATTAACAAAAGGAAGTATTTTCCAACGTGGGGGGCGGGGCACAAAAAAAAACAGATTTCCCCATCAGAAAGCCGATACATACCAAATCCTGCTTATTTTCCACCAGTTCTTTGAGTTGTTTCATGTTATGCCTTCAGTCCATCTGGAAGTTGGTTCAAATGGCGTCCTTAGCTTTGTTCTCTTTTCTTTGGAAGATCCTGGGAGTTTTAACTTCGCGCCCCGCCTGTTCATCCTCAGCAGCTCCTCGGGAGACTTCTCGGCCACTGAGTTCGTGTACCCCGCGCGAGCGCCCTCTGCCGTCAGCTCCATGCCTTTCCTGCAAGAGGATCTGTACAGCGCGCCGCAGCCAGGTGAGGCCTGCAGGGGCATGGTGGCTTGCAAAGCCCCCTCCCGGAAGCCTTTCTTTCCCTTTCTTTTTAAGTAGTTCCTATCTGCCAAGTACAGTGCTAATGTACTTGCTACATCTCCTTTTATCCACCCCCCCAAAAGAAAACAAAGTCAGCCATGTAGCATTGTATCGTGAACTCCGTTACTTCCTACATCCAAAGAGCCAGTTGACAGTACCACATGGCGTCCCCGACATTCTTCCAGCCTTCCTCTCCAGCTTTCTGCTTCATGGTCCCTTGCTCTAGCTTTCACGTTTGTATTTGAAACTGGGTAAACAGGAAAAGGGCAGTTCGTCATGTCCCTCCAACTCCAATATTTCTGCTCCATCCCTTTGGCCTGAAGATGTCATGAGGCCACTCTAGCTGCCAAGGAACCTGGGAAAGCAAGTGGCTAAGAAAAAGGACATGGGAAAGCTCTCAGCAGAATTAAGACTGCAGACTGGATCTCCCAATTCCAACGCATGCCCTAATGCCCAAACCTATGCAAAGGAAATGGGCTCTATAGACCCTCCCACTTCCTGCCAATCAAACCTCTGAGCTCATAGTTTGTCCATAGCCTAGAGCTGCAGCCCAGTAACTCATTTTACAGTAGTTGCCCTTCCACCAGCTCAGAGCTTGGCAGGGGCATATGTCACACTATAGGCAGCAGCCATGAACATCTAAAAGAGAAAGCGACTTCCTGCCCTTGCATTCCTGGGCTCTGGGTGGATCATCAACACCCACTGGCTTTTAAAGCAATCACAAAATGACCTCGGTGCTGCTGAGCTGTCAAGTTGGAGAGCACTTGCCACATAGAGTTAGAATCAGGTAGAGGCTTGAGACAAGGAGGGAGAGACAAGAGGATTCTGTCTAAAATCCACTTCCCTGTAAAAGAACCATCACTGCTCAGAGCATCATGGGAGTTGAGGGCAAGCCAGATGTGAGCTCATTAGAGACCAGAGCAAATCTGAAAGGGCTACCAGCAATCTTTGGTTGAGCTGGGAAAGGAAAGACACAAAGAGACCTTTCTTGGGTCACGTCCTGGTCCTGCTAGGGTCCTTCAGAGTTTAACTTTGGAGGACAGAGTGTGCAGGAGCCCCCAAGGACTCATCACTCTGAACTTTGGGGAGAGGGGTGTGGGGACAGCTGGTAGAGCAGCAAGGCTTCTCTTGGGGCAGTGTGCACCAGAAGGTCTGTGAAGGAGTATACCTCATGGTCTGGTTCTGTCCTTACCTCACAGCACTCTTCCTTGTTGACAATCACCACGAGGTGTACCTCTGGCAAGGCTGGTGGCCCACTGAGAACAAGATAACTGGCTCTGCCCGCATTCGCTGGGCCTCAGACCGAAAGAGCGCCATGGAGACAGTCCTGCAGTATTGCCGAGGTGAGGGCAAGAGGGAGGGGATGGAGAGCTGTCACGGGTCCAGCTATGTCCCTTCTGAGATGCCCCCAGCCTTGAGAAGGCTCCAGTGGTCCCCCTTCTACCACTAGAGGCCTGTCAATATTAAAATCAATACAGTCTCTGCTACCAGTACAAAGTGGAGTCTATATTTCTCTTTCATATGATGAGGCTGCATTGTGGAGCTGCCTGCCCTGGCATCCCCTCTCTATGTGAAAGTGGGTAACTGAGCGGCCTCTACAGCTCGCCTTTCTCTTCAGGTAGCACCTGCATTAGAGAACAGAAATGTGCTCAAACCGGTTAAAAGCCAATGCCGGCCTTTCTTTTGGTATTGTATCCAATGATAAAAATAAAGCAAAAGTAAAAAATCCATAGTAAATCCCTGGTTTCTTAGCTAGCATCCGCATGAAATCGGTCACCTTTTATGTAAAGGAGGCCAGTAACTAATGTCCTGTCTGCATGTTGACAGTTTACTGGCTCGCTTAACACACCTGAGTGTGTATGGTCGATTCTTTCCATGGAAAGCCCTTTGTGAACAGCCTTCCAAACAGCACCAAATGCTCACCCACACCTGGAAGATGCTGTCATTGGCTGTCGCTTGCTATTGAAAACCTTCACAGGCAAATGAAAGGGAAGCAGACATGTCTGGTGGGAGTTCCCAGGAGAGCCTTCTGTTCCCCTAGGGGTCCAGAAACATTCTGTCAGCTTCAGGAAGTGTGGGGGGTGGGGGGGAGTCAGGCCTATGTGGCATCTGTGTTAAAGAGATAAGCATAAGAATCACCTTTCACTCATTGTTGTGAGTGACTCATAATCCACATTTGAAACTTGAAAGTCAAGAGTTCTGAAGGAAAATGGAATGAACAGGAGGAAAAGCAGGAAGGGCAGGCTCTTTGGGTTCACTGACATGTGTGCTCTGTGTCCCTACAGGGAAGAATCTCAAAAGGCCACCCCCCAAGTCTTATCTTATTCATGCTGGGTTAGAGCCCTTGACATTCACCAACATGTTTCCCAGCTGGGAGCACAGAGAGGACATTGCTGAGATCACAGAAATGGTGAGTTCCCCACCCACACTTCCCACCCCAGGCCTCTGCACTGGGAAGCACCACCAGAGGGAGAAGCATTGGATTGCAATCTGACCGTGGGAACAGACTGTGGGGTGTGATGACATACACATACACTCCTAGCCCTTGACCGCCAGCCTGGGCTTTATAGCAAGCTCTTGGCTAGCCTGCACTATATGCTAAGATCCTACAAATAAAGTGGGGACACACTTTTTCCTGCTGCAACATACTACCTATGCTGCATGGACTTGGCTTAGGAGGAGAAGCCTAATGGGAAATCAATTGAAGTAGTTTGATCATTTTTTACACATGATTTTCAGGATTTTAAATATGAGCAAAGGCTACAAATAAAAGCTGCCATCACTTCATTCTATTAGCACCAAACCCACTGCTTCTCAAGGTGTGCGCAATGCATAGCCAAGTCCTCTCTTGGTAAGTGCATGTAGGAGAGACACAGACTGCAATACAGGAATGTGCTCAGGTAGCTAAGGGAGAGAGCACATTGTGTTCTCTCATTGTGTTCGTGCAAGTACAGAGTATCACTTAGCATTACAGGAGGCAGCCCTCTGCCTACCAAACATACATTTGTTCCCCACCTGGAGGCTTAGTGTGGCTGTGTAGAATGTCTTAATTTAAGACTTAACTTTGCTAGTGATAGAAATTACAAGTTTAGTGGGAAGTAGGAATTTTCCATTTTAATTTTGTTACTCTATAAGAGAAAGCTGCCTTTGTGGGGGTACAAGGAGGAACAGACCTGATATATAGAATTCACAAAGAACTTTGAAAATTAAATATTAAAGAAACAAAGCTATCAATCAGCAAATGGGACTACTGGATGAACAGATGGCTCTCAGAAGATGACCAATAACTTTTTTAAAGTGCTCAACATCCCTAGTCATCAGAGAGATGCAAACTAAATCTACTTTGAGATACCATCCCACCCCAGTCAAAATAGCTACCATCAAGAAAGAATATGATCAAAATATATTGTATGAAAGTCTGAAAAAACTAAAACCATTTTTTAAATTAAGTGAATAAATAAAACCCTTATTTAGTTTCAAAAATGAATGAAAGGAAGAAAGAAAGAAAGAAAAAGAAAGAAAGAAAGAAAGAAAGAAAGAAAGAAAGAAAGAAAGAAAGAAAGGGATCTGACCACAAATGTTGTCAAAGATATAGGAGAAGAGGTTCCCTACTGCTATTAGAGGAGCAAAGATTAATATAACATGATGGAAATCAGTAGGAAGTTCCTCAAAAAAATAAAAATAGATCTACTATATTACCTATCTATACCACTCCTGGGCATCTACCCAAAAAACTCCATCTCCCACCACAGAGATATCTGCACATCCATGTTCATTGCTGCTCTATTCTATTCACAATAGCTAGGAAATGGGACCAGCCTCGATGTCCATCAATGGATGAATAGATGATGAAGATTGGTACATATACACAATGGGATAATACTCCGCTGTAAGGAAAACTGGAATCAGGAAAATGGATGGACTTGGTCATATACTATTAATCAGGTCAACCCAAACTCAGAAAAAGAAATTCATAACCTCCCTTATGCTGATCCTAATCTATAATGTATACATGCAAGTATGTAAACAAGTGTAAGCATAGGGAGGCCAAAATGGCTACCATCAAGAAAGAATATGATCAAAATATATTGTATGAAAGTCTGAATAGGCAGGCCTGAATATATTTTAGACGTAATTTTAAACACACAAAATTTTAAAAATCTGCTGTTGCATCTCAATCAAGAGCTTTGTAATGTACAAATCAACCCACCCACCTGACCTTTCTGCAGTGCTAGAAATGGAACCCAGGGCCTCGTACATGCTGCAGCCTCGGCCACTCTAACCTGGCTTTGCCAGATGCATTTGATCTATGTAGGGAAGGAGGTGATAGCAACCTGACCCCTAGGCAGAGCGACAATATGTGGAGTTCACAATATGTGTGAATCTCAGATCTCAGGGTTCCAAGGATGATGGGCATTTCAGCTGTCCCGTGCAGTCTAAGCCCAAGCAGGGGTTATCCTCGTATTTCTGCATTCACTGTAGCTCATCAGGCTTGGGGGATGGGGGTGCTGTATGATGTTGAGCCAGCTTGTAATTAAGACTCTCTGTGTGCTGCTCTGGTGAGGCCCAGCACTAAGCGTGTTACATTTGATGTCTCATTTAATTACCAGGACACTATATTAGAGTTCATCTTACTATCGTCCCCACTTTACCAGTGTAGGAGCTGAGACATAAAACACTTGCCTCAAATCTCTGAGTCACCAAGTGAGGAGTGGCCCATAGGTACAGGACGGTGGGCTCAGCGTAGCATCCACCTCTCCTGAGATTCTGCGCCATAGATTGCCAAAGTTGTTAGTAACTTGAACTCATTCATTCACCATGCAACTGCCCAAAGGGAGGGAAAGCTTCCCAGACCCAAGTATAAGAGATGAAGATGATTTTCCCAGAACACCCATGTGTGTGCGCGCGTGCGTGTGTGTGTGTGTGTGTGTGTGTGTGTGTGTGTGTGTGTGTGTGTGTGTGTAACCCAGGGTCTTGTGCATTCTAGGCAGTACTCTACCACTGAGCTATAACTTTACCCTTACCTTCCTTGTGTCTCGATGTGGATGAGGAAATGGAACCTGTGTGGAAGGAGAGAGGGCATGATTTCTTTTTAGCTTAATTATTTTAAAAGACAAATTCCATTATGTGGAACCATGTAATGTTTTGATTTCAGATCCAATAATCTTTCTCCACTATTCACTCATAGGTAAGCTGGGTCCCTAAACATGCATGCATTCATTCATTCATTCATTCATTCATTCATTCAGAAGCAGCTCAAACACAGAGTTGATTTGAAGCTTGGCAGGAGGACAAAAGCTCTGAAAGTCAAGAGGTAATTCCGGGACATTCAGAGCCTCCTTTCCACAGTGGAGTGACACCATGCTCCTCACCAGGCCGTGCACATATGGGACAGAGTAGAGGTCTGCAAGCTCTCCATAGAAAGCAAGGGTCTGCTCACATGTTCTCTGCAAACTCTCTCCAGGATACTGAAGTTTCCAACCAGATCACCCTAGTTGAAGATGTCCTAGCCAAGCTCTGTAAAACCATCTATCCACTGGCAGATCTGCTTGCCAGGCCACTCCCAGAGGGAGTAGACCCTCTAAAACTTGAGATTTATCTCACAGATGAAGACTTCGAGGTGAGTGGCCCCTTGGGTGGGATGGTGATGACACACTGGCTTGAGGGGCCTTTCACTCAGCCACTCACTGGACATCTCTTCCATTTCCTGCAGTTTGCACTCGACATGACCAGAGATGAATTCAACGCACTGCCCACCTGGAAGCAAGTGAACCTGAAGAAAGCAAAGGGCCTGTTCTGAGGTCAAAATGACAGGCGCCACCAAGAAGAGGTCACTTGCGATGTCGCTAGACCAGAAAATGGATATTTTGTTTTTTGGACTGGTATTTTTTCTGTCGAAGAAGAAAGTATTTTCGAATCAGAGTTTTTCCAAACATGACCTTATTAACTCTGTGGCTTGTCCAGGAGTTGAGAATTTTGTAAATGTGTAGGAGAACTCTTGGGATCGTTCTTTTCCGTGGTTCAGGTAAACTGAGAAACACATCTCTTCCGTTCACTCAGCCGAGTGCTGCCTCAGTGGCCACTGCAACCCTGCCCTCCTGTTCTAGCTCGGCATTACCTTTTTTAAAGCAATTCTCTTTATAAAGTGTTATTTTGATAGTTTGTGGATTCTAAATATATATATATATATTTATATAAACACCATATAAATCAAATATGTATTTAACAAAGCAATATGCATTCATTCACTTTCAAGTTTTTTTCCTTTGGTGTCAAAACATTATTACAAGGTAGACAGAGTCGCTTCTGTTGAGTTCGGCCTGCCACCAGTCTGTCGCCTGGTGTGTCATCCATCCCATCCCCCACCCCAATCACCATTTCCCTCTCCCCCATGCTCAGGAGTGCCTCCTTCAGCCTTAGGTCTGGCTTGTGCGGAGTTCTGCTTCCGGTGCTAAAGCGAACAAAGACTTACTTCCCAGTGTGGAATCTGAAGAAATCTATGTGAATCAACCTTTCTACCTTAATATCTCCCCCAGAAATGTATAGTGCCTTGTTTTATGTACAGTTTATATACAGAAAAGTTTGCTCTGCTTTTTTTTTTTTTTTTTTTTTTTTTTTTTTTGATGCTGGTTTGGAACATTATCTACAGTTTTACTCTCAAGTAGTAGAAATAAAAACATCTCAATTTCTCATACCCATTGTGAACATTACACATGTCATTCTGTGATACAGGACCCCAAAATAAAACTTCAGAATAATCACAATTCATTAATCAGTTTACATTGAATTCCAAACCTGCTCCTTTGTAGGGAAAAAAAAAAAAAAAAAAAAAAAAAAAAAAAACTTGATGCATTAGGAACCAACTGCCCTAACTCAGGCTTTCACCAAGGGCAAGGATTTTAGACTAAGGTGTAAGATTAAAGAGGCGAAGCAGACATTTAACCCATAAATTTTCTCTAAGAATTGCTGATGTTCTTAACTCTACAGCTGCGTCTAAACTCACTTTAAGATCTCAGCACCTTTTCTCAAAATATGAATGGATATGTAAGGCATTAAGATGTAAAATATGGTGGAGTGCTTGCCTAGCACGTGTGAGGCCCTAAGTTCAATGCCCAGCACTGCCAGAAACTGAACAAAAAGACAAAACCATGACTTTGAGCATGTTCTGCAGATGGGCTGTGAGTTATTACAGCTCTTTCCCTTACCCACTGCTTAGTCTAGATCACATGTCTGTCTTAAAGGTCCTAGCTTTCTCCCCTGCCCCACCGTGGCACTCCACCAGGACCCACAGCTTTGTGGTTGTGTGATAATATCCAGTCACCAAATGTTCCTGCCTTCTTCTTCTCAAGAAAGGAGACACTCGCTGACCTTCTCCGCATTATGGGGCTTTCGGCAGGGATGGAGGAAACAGGCTTTGAAACCTGTCCAGTGCTGTGGAACTTCCTGTGTTGGTGCCCTTGTGACAGGAGCTGAAATGGGAGAAGCAGAAGAGTTAAAGTGAAAAGATGGAGTCATGTACCCGGAAATGATGGAAAGGGGGGGCTCAAAGTGCTTCCCTAAAATAACAGCAAAGGAGAGTTGTTCCTGCAGCCAGTACAGCAACCTAAAGAGTGTCATAAAGGACAGATTTGCCACCATCTGCAGCCAACTCAGGAAGTCAACTGGGCTCTTAAACACAGGGTTTCGGTTGGGCTTCTCCAGAGAGAATCCACTACCCATGTGTCAAGAGTAGCTAGATGATGCATGCATGCATGGATGGAAACTGGGGGAATAGACCCATGTCACTAGGCAGACTGAGGCTTCCTCAACAGGCTATGTGCAACCTGGAGCCCCTGGGAGACTAGTACTTAGCTGTTCAAGCCTGAGAAACTTGCAAAACCAGTGCATGTCCCTCTCAGCTAAAGGCTAAGGCCTGAGATCCTGGGGACTACATGCGAGTCCTAGAGACCCAGAGGGCACAGACATCTGTGTCTGTGTTATGGTGTCTACAGAGCACACGAACAGTATTCCTACTGCTGGAAAGGGAGAAGAAACTCACCTTTGTCTGTTTGTTTTAACTGCTTCCCCTCCAGACCACCCCATTCAGGGCTTAGGCTCATGAAGCACTTTTCTCCTCTGTCTCACCATTATGAACACACCCAAAGTTAGGCTCAGCCAGGCTAGTGTCACTTTATCTGGTTACCTCATAAGACAGGTCTCTGTCATCAGAATATCCCTCAAAGCCAAGTTTCTCCAAAGGGCTCTAAACTCTAAATCTGCACTTGTATTCAATGCTGTCCCCCAGTCATGAACCGTCAGCCTGATGCTGGCCTCTGAAAGGGCTCGACTCTGGATACCAGCTCAGTTTGCCTCTTTCCTGCCCCCAGAATGAGAGCCTCTGTGTCCTTTCAGATCCCCTAATAGCCGCCATTAGCTTTATTTCAACTCAAGATGACTTACAATACCTGAGAGCACGAAAGGGCTGCGTAAATAGCTGTTGCCCTGTATCATCTAGGGAATAACAACTCCTAAGGGGCTTGTACACGCTGAGCTCAACCAAATCTCAGAATCTGTTTGACCTGTGCTTCTGAAATGTGGATACTAAGGGTCATTTGTACCATTTGGCCCAAAGAAGTCCTACTTTTACTTATATTTTTAGTGTGTGTGTATGTGTGTGTGTGTGTGTGTATGCGCGCGCGCATGTGCGCGCGCCTGCCAGAAGTGGATGTCAGGTGTCTTCCTCAGTCACTCTCCACCTTATTTTTGAGACAGGGTCTCTCTCTCAACTTAGGAGTTCACTGAGGAGGCCAGCTAACAGGCTAGTGAACTCTGGGGTTCCTTCTGTCTGCCTCCCCAGATCTGGGATCACAGACATGTGCTTCTAAACACTTCTTTTTACATGGGTGCTGAGGATCTGAACACCTTACTGACTGAGGTATCTTCCCATACCAACCTCCTACTTGTAGAAAGTAAACACACAGCTTCACACACATGCTTATTCTTGCTCCATCAGAGCCTGGCTATCAGCTGAGTCAGACTACATGTCACAGATATGCCTGAGGATTTGGTCAGAATGAGATGGAAAACATTGGAAATGCTCTATTCCTATAACCACATCATGGATGTGCTGTGCCTGTTGGACTTGGAAGAGCCACTGGTCTCACAGGCTCATTGTTGGGTGATGACTGAGAAGGAGGGCTAACTGACTAGCATCCTCACATCTAATAATCAACTAGGTGTTCTCTTGAGCTGCACACTGCTAGGATTAAAAAGAAATTTCCAAAGCCAGATTTGGTAGTGCAACTTGTGATGCCAGCACATAGGAAGTGGAGGCAGGAGCATCATGAGTTCAAGGCCAGCATGATCTACATAGTAAGACCCTGATTTGGGGGGATCCAAAATGGATGCAATATCATGGAAGGCAGTGTCCAACACATCCTAGCCTTGGTATTCCCTCACAGTCTCATCAGAGTTGTGGAAAATGTTCTTGAAATTGTGTACCACAGGCTTTTGAAAGTCCCTGATGGGCTGTGATAGACTGGCTTGTATGATCTGAAAATTATCATAAACTGTCCTGCTACTATATCTCATGGAATCAGTAAATCCAGCTCGGTCATCTGAATATTCATCCTAGCATTCATCTTTGCTCCTCTGTCTCACTCACTTCTACAACAAGGGTCAATAAAAACTAGTCCCTGCACTACGTAAGGATGTAAGACCACATATGGCAAAGCCCTGCCTGAGCTGGCACAGTAGCTGTTGAGTAATACACAGAGGACACAATCTTAGAAATTTGCCCACTTAAACTGGACCATTTAGTGACTTGGGTTACAAGAGAAGGTGAAGAGTCAGCCCACTGATGGTTCAGCATCCCCGTATGTTCCAGTTTTCCAAGACCTCAGGCTGGATGTAGACCCCCACCAGCAGGAAACGAGCAGTAGTTGGCTGGTAGGAACTCAGCTGGTGATCTGTTATTGTGTGTGTTTCTCCACCGATGTCTGCCACTGGCCTCACCGGGACTCACTCCCTGCACTTCACTGACACACTGTCACAGCTGGACTCCGCCTAGAGTCTAGAGGATGCCCGGGTCATGTGTGAGGTGGGGGGAGGTAGGGGACCCTTGTACAGGGCTGCAGACATCTAACTGACTGCAGAATCAACCCTCCCTGGAAGCTAGTCCCTTAGCGTGCTGTACTCCGCTGACATCCAGTTGCAGAAGGCTTCTTCCCTTCTTGCTTTTAAAATCCCAGTGGCCATGTGTACAGGGGCTATTTAGAGTATCCGTTGCCAGTGACACTTGTTTAACTTCTCAGTGAGCAGACAGACAACATGATAAGCTAAGCCCTGTTGCCTGGACCCAGCTGGAAATTGTCAGCAGTGATGTAGTTTGGAATTCAGTTCTACCATTTGAGAGAACATCTGACATACTTCCATCTCCATTATCAGGAGAAAGTACAAGGATGATACGAACCCATAGCCCCTGCTACAGCTTAAATATGAAGTGTCTCCCAAAGAGGCTCATATATTGAGGCTGTCCCCGGCTGGTGGCATTCTCGAGAGTAATTGGATCACCAAGACACTGAGATCAAAGGGTTAAAACGTGGCGTTCTCATTAAATGGGCCATTAGGAGGTGGGGTCTGATTGGAGAAAATGTGTCACAGGGAGCAAACTTTTGATGTCTTGTTCCTGCCTGTGCTTCTCTCCTCTTTCTGCTTCCTGGCTACTGTGGGGCGAGGAGCTTTCTCAGCCATGCTTTTCTAGCATGATATTTCTCCTCACCACCCATGGGCACACAAGCAATAGAGCCAAGTGATTATGGACCCCTGAAACCATGTGCCAAAGTGACTCTTTCCTACCTCTTTCTCAGGCATTTTGTCACAGAAACAACAATGGTGACAAACACTGAAGCCCTGGGGCTACAAATGTGCATGGTGGCTGTACCTGTCCTGAGATCTCTGTCAGCCCTTCCTTCCCTCAACCACCCCCCAAAAGCACTGACTCTAAGAAAGGGCCTTGAATGCCTGCTTGTACAAGCAGTTTCCAGACACATCCCTCTCTCCCCAAGGAAGAGAGCTACCCAGGCCCTTTGAGACAGAAATGACTCTGCTTATTCTGGTGTGGACCTCCCACTCCCTGGGCCAATCAGTCAAGGCTTATATTTCATTAGTCCTAATTTTAATCTGGGGGGGGTAGGAAGAATAGGGTGAAATTTTTGTGGAAATAGCCCTCTGACAGATTTGTACACACACACACACACACACACACACCCTATCAGCTGTGGTTCTGGAGAAGTGAGAATTCCCAGCTGGGACCAGCAAGGGAAAAAGAAATATTGAAGAGACCAAAGGAAAATGTTGGCTTTTTAGCCTGGGGTCTGCGGCGCTAAGGGCTGCGGGACCAGCAGGTGGCGCTGTGGCTGGCCGGCAAAAGCCCAGGCGTCCCTGCAGAGCACATCTGAGTCACCATTTCCAAAGGAAATGCCAGCTCTTATGTAATAGGGTGGGGTAAGGTCTTCCTCCTAAGACCCTTGTCATCAGTGCTTCTAGTTGATTTGTTTCTAGCACGGGGAACTTGAATCTCATCAAGGATTTTGCCAAAGATTAAACAAATCTTG